GACCACTCAACATTTGCACTACTTTGCAAATATGTATGCCACCTGTATGATCAGCTGGCTGCTGAAAATGTCAATGGGGCTAGGTACAAGGCTTTCTGTATGGCATCATCAGCCTCGCCAGAACTGTCGATTCCCCTCACAAGTGATGCCCTACATCAGCACTGCAAAACAGGCAAATTATCAGGCTGCAGTCATGAGGTCCTGCATCAAACAAAATATAGGTGTGTGGTAGAGAAAAACATCATGTAGACCAGAATAACAGGAAACGCCAAGCACTGACAAGAAGAAGCTGTTGCTATATTTTGACATGTTCAACAGGCCAAACTGACGCCAGAATAACAGGAAGACGGGAGACAGGCACATGCAAGAACAGGGCAAGATGACCTGGGTAAATGAACATGTTTATCCGGTTACTAGCTGAATTTGAGCCAAATATTAGGCAACATCCTCATGTTGGCATCTGGAAAGTGTCTGACCATGTTTGGTCAGAATAACAGCCAAATAAATGAACGAATGAATAAACAAATGGTTCTTGTCATTGATTACTTCCTTTTATTGATCAAAATGACTTAACATAGAAAGTTCACCTTATCGTCTATTTTCCTCATTGTTCTTCGTGCAGGCAGCTATGTATAAAGCACTGTTTAGAATCCATTTGGCGCACTTTAGAAGACTTTTGGGAGAATTCCTCTCTATCGGTAACGTTAAGTAGAACCACGGAGGAAGCTGTGTTGCTGGAAGTGTTGACATCAATCAGCTACTCGATTGGTGTAGCACGATCACGTGTCGAACCGTGCCACCGCTCGCGCACCAAAATCTTATTGCGCCCCAAAGACGCTAGTTCTTTATAAAATGCATCGATATAAAAAACAGGCAGGATATTTTGCGACAAACTTTTTGCTGTAAGTTTGACGTAACTCGTTCTTATTTATGAAGTTGAGATCGTGTAGTTCCCAGACGTCGGAGCGAGATGAAACGATAATCGGGTTCACCTTATAGCCTAGAAGATGAAAATGCAAAAAGAAGAAGAATCCCCTTCATTCTCACTGTACATGTACAGTATATACAACATAATTTGTCCTCTGGATTTAAACCATCAACCAACTCTTAGGGAACACTGGTTGCTTTCAGAAGTGTCTGGGGAGCAAGGGAATTGACACTTGCTGAACACACCACAGCCGATCAAGCCGTGATTCATACATGCAATCCCCAGTGTTTTTTATCCTGATGCCTGACATCATAGCCTGGTGTATAGTACTGGTCCCAGAGGTAAGAAATTTCATGGGACGCTTGAGCAAAAGAATGGGCCAAATTTCAAAGCAGACATACACACACACTTTTGCACATGTGGTTACTGGGGATACTGGTGTGTGTCATGGGAGAGGTGTGAAGAGGAGGAGCTTATACTCCTTTTCATCTCCCTCCTCCTCATTCTCCTGCTGCTGGGCCATTTTGGTTGGATGAGCCATGTTGTGGCCCGACAAATGTCATGCATGCAAACAAAAGACAGGAGCAGGAAGAGGAAGCAGCTGATTGTGCCACTTCTTTTGAGCACACCACACCTCAACAGCATCATGGGTCTCCATGGATACTATCGCAACAGATCGATAATTCATGCAACAACAAAATCAACCTTCCCACCCCCTCCAGACTATGCATGTGTGTCACACTCCCTAATAATGGAAGTCATAAAAACTAATTAGTACCAAAAAAAAAAAGCAGACCAGATGAGTCCTGTGCAACAGTATGTAAAACACCAGAATAAACAACAAATAGCAGCTAGGACAATAAACAGGCCTAAAGCCTTATTCATTTTAGCCTTTTACACAGCAAAGAAATTTAGTCATTAGACATATATTTACAGTCCCCTCCAAATGTATTGCAACAGCAAAGTCAATTCCTTTGTTTTTGTTGTATACTGAAGACATTTGGGTTTCAGATCAAAAGATGAATATGAGACAAAAGTTTTTATTTCATGGTATTGACATCTAGATGTGTTAAACTCAGGACAGAGCACATTTTCTTTGAACCCACTCAGTTTTCAAGTGAGCAAAAGTACTGGACCATGTGACTGATGGGTGTTTCTAGTTGCTCAGGTGGTGCCTTTTAGATTGATTGCTGAAACATTAAATAGTTCTTGTTTTTGGCTTTAGGCTTCACCTGTGAAAACTGCAAAGCAAACATGAACACCAGAGAGCTGTCTATGGTAGAAAAGCAAATTATTTTGAAGCTGAGAGAAGAGGGAAAATCGATCAGAGCTATTGCACAAACACTGGGCATAGCCAGTACAACAATTTGAAATGTCCTGAAAAAGAAAGAAACTACTGGTGTACTGAGCAACAGACATCGAACAGGTCGGCCACGGGTAACAACAGCAATTGTTGATAGAAACATTGTGCGAGCTGTGAAGAAACAACTAAAGACAACAGTCACTGTCATCACTGCCAACCTCCACAGGGCAGGGCTGAAGGTATCACAATCCACTGTTTGAAGAAGACTTATAGAGTATAAAGGAATATAGAGGCCATACCACAAAATGCAAAACACTCATCAGCAAAATGAATCAGAAGGCCAGATTGGATTTTGCAAAGAAGTACAGAGAACAGCCACAAAAGTTTTGGAACAAAGTTGTATGGACTGATGAGACCAAGATTAACCTCTACCAAAGTGATGGAAAGGCCAAGTATGGAGAAAGAAAGGATCTGCTTATGATCCAAAACATACAAGCTCATCGGTGAAACATGGTGGAGGTAATGTCATGGCTTGGGCTTGCATGGCTGCTTCTGGAACGGGCTCACTTGTCTTTATTGATGATGTAACTCATGATGGCAGCAGCAGAATGCATCCAAACTAATCGAGAGAAGCTTCATCATGCAACAAGACAATGATCCAAAACACACTACCAACACAACAAAGGACTTAATCAGAGGTGAAAAGTGGAAGGTCTTGGACTGGCTAAGTCAATCACCGGACCATAACCCAGTAGAGCATGCATCCCTCCTGAAGAGGAGAATGAAGGGAGAAACCCCCAGAAACAAACAACTGAAAGAGGCTGCAATAAAGTAAGGGTTATGCCACCAAATTAAATGTTATTCACTTCAAGTTAATTTAATAATGTCCGTTCCAATACTTTTGTTCACTCGAAAAGTGGGTGGGTTCAAAGAAAAGGTGCTCTGTCCTGAGTTGTTGGACAGATCTAGATGTCAATACCATGAAATAAAAGCTGGAATTCTGAACTTTTGTGTCATGTTAATCTTTTGATCTGAAACCCAAATGTCTTAAAAGGAAGTGATCTTGCCGTTCCAATACTTTTGGAGGGGACTGTACATGTGTCATGTAACATTTTATTGTGTTAATTTACTTAAAAATATAATATTTCTCATTTTTAAAATATAAACAACAATAACAATAAAATACCCTAGCACTGATAAACATTAACTTAACTGTTAAGTGAAAAATGAATTTGTTATAACTTGTTTGTTATACATTTTATTTTATTGGTGTTGACTATGTAAAGATTATCCACTGTGGAACTGAATAAACTAACTTTAGAGTACCAAATTTTAAAAAAGTCACATTTGTTTACAATATTTAAGTAGTGTCAGTTGACAACATAATGTCAATATATTATTGACAGTATTCATAAGAAATCCTTAATTTGACTCTATTTAATATTACTTCTATATATTGACATGCACTGTGTTGCCAAACCTAAAATGTTATGATTTGCATTAGTCTAACCCTAAGACTAAGAAAAACATAATTACAACCCTGTTATATGTTACTTAGTTCATTGAGACAAGATGATTTTGTGATTTGAGCTCCAGAGTAAAACACTCAGTACCATGGGACATACAGAATAACATTTTTTTAAATATACCTTAGACTCTATGCTATATTTAAAATAGACATGAGAGCTATTAATACATAGCTATAGATAAAATATATATATATATAACATAAAAATGATTATACAAGTATAAAAACACATAAATCACATTAAGAGTATGTATCCTATTAAATATATTGGGATGTTTAGATAATTATGGTAACTTTCCACATTACATTTATATCCATGGCCTATGGAACACTGCACACCACAGGATAATTTTTTTATGATTATCACTGTTGTTGTGAATAATAACAGGGATGTGATGTTGATGGTGGTGGTGGTGGTTGAGATGGTAGTTGTGTGTTTGCAGGGTTGGAGCACCACCATGCATTTTGAGGCCTCTGCCCATTGTTGCAATGTAGTTTCCCCACCCCCCTCTCTGCGTCAAAGCAGTCTATTATTTGACATGCAAAGACTGTCTCTGTTTCTCCGTCTGTCTGCCTGCCTGCCTGTCTGTCTGTCTGTAAGTGTGTATATTAACTAATCCTGAGGTGGTTTCTCTTGTGTGATTCTCAGCATCTTCACTGGAGCTGTGGGAGGAAAATAAGAAGCCATTAGAATGATAGCCCCCTCTCTCACTCACACTCACCTTGACTATTCTCTGCTGGTGAAACATATGGTCCAGAGAGCGGAGTAGCAATGGCAGCCCAGGCATTATTGTCTGACCGATGAGTAAGAATGGACCCAATGGTCTGCAGCGTTTTCTCCACGTACGGTAGACCATCCGTGGATCTTTTCCGTGCGCTGGACAATTTAAAAATGGCCGCAGCTATTTGTTCATCAGCGGCTGAGCGCTTTCCACTTTCACTAGTGGCTGGGGTGAGAAGCAGAAGGGAGGTTTCAGCCTCAGTCGGTGGGAAAGCGGCTGCTACAGGCCCGACAGCTGGCGGCCTTCTCCCGTAAAGATGAGAAGGCATGTCGGTGTGGAAGGTGTCTCTGGTGCCGGAGGCTGGATCTGGTCTCCGGTTGGACAGTGGCGGCGCATCGTAAAGGCTGATGCGAGGTGCAGCGTTACAAAATCCAATATATACATATAAAATAAAAGTCAGCAGCGGCGATATGTACATCATTGAGGACATGGAGCTCATAGCGGCTCTCGGCTCTCCATGTAAGCCGCGTTAACGGTCTTTCTCAGACCTTTTCTCCCTGAAATGACGCGCTCCTCCACCATTTATCTTGCCTCCGCTGCTGCAGCTACTATGGCTCGGGAGTGGAGCAGCATAGTCAAGGCTTCACCTGCGCCTCAACCTAACTTCAGCTTCACTAGTGATGGACGTTCCCCTTAGCCAATGAAACAGGAACCTAACTCAGCCATATGAGCAGCGGGACTCGCTAATTGGCTAATGGGAAAGCGGCATTAATAACGCAGCCCCCTACCCCCGCGCTCTGTGTCGCCCGGTATGGAGACTAGTGGTTGGAAGACCGACTCTTTTTATTGATTCGAATCTTTGACTCTCGAACAGTAAAATGAACGAGTCGTGAACGAATCTTGAACTAATCATTTCATTCGTTTTACAGCAGGTGGCGCTTTAGCCCTATTGTGGGCGTTGTAAAGAAGGCTGCGGTTCTCCGACACTAAATAAGGCAACATGGTTTGCTTCCGCTGACAAAGTCTACAAAGTACACAAAATGCCATAAGTAATTAAAACCATGTGAAAAGCTAAGAAATAAAAACACACCACAATGTGAAGATGAATGAGAGCAAAAAAGACCCGAGCTCTTTCACGTGACAAATGAAACGAATCTGCGAGAACGAGGCGAAAGATTAGTTCACAGAGAATGATCCGTTTAGAGCAGGGGTGTCAAACTCAAATACACCGGGGGCCAAAATTCAAAATTCAAAATCTGAACAAAGTCACGGGCCAACATAAACATTGTAATATGAACTCAAACAAGTTTTGCTTTAACATTGAATATGGAACAAGCAACACATATTACCACACAATATTTAACTTAACTTCTAATTTTAATATCAAAATAAACTTTTTCCACAGGCTAATAATTTTAAAAATAAATTAACAATAATAAATCAATCAACCATTCAGAACCATGCCTTGGAATAACAATTAAAGTGCTTAAAGGAAACTTATAATTAACTTCACTTTTAATTTTTGCTCAGTTTGCTACACTTATCTAACCTGATGTGCCCGACACCTGGCACCTCTTCTTGGATGCAAGTTTATCAATGTCGGGGCACAGGCTCTGAGCTGAGGAAATCCTCAGTATCGAGCAAAGGTGTTCATCCGTCAGGCGTCTCCTGTGAGATGTTTTGGTCATCTTCATTGTGGAAAAAAGTTGCTCACATATATAAGTGCTGCCGAACATGGAGAGCATCTGAGCAGCTTGGATGCGGAGCTGAGGCATTGTGTGAGGGATGAACTGTGGAAACTGTGCGGCTCCCACAGCATCAAAATATGATGCTGTGTCACTACACTGGAGTTCAATCAGCTCCATTTGGAGGTTTGTCGGTGCGTTTTCCACATCAACTGCAAAAGGATTGCTGAGCAGTTGAAATCTACATTTCTGCACATCAAAGTCGGCAAATCGCCGCCTAAACTCAGCGCAGAGTACATCGAGTTTTTCACAAAACTGTGCGCTTGGGAACGCGGTGGGAGAGATCTGCGTTTTTATGGTTTGGCAGCAGGAAAAATGGCCAAGGTCTCCATGCATCATCTGATTTTCCCACAGGCAAAGTTTAGTTTTGAAAGTCCGGACTGCAGCGTACATCTCCGTGATGATGCGCCCCTGAAGCTGCAGGTTCAGCGCATCGAGGTGGCTCGAGATGTCACACAGAAATGCCAACTCGCACAGAAACCTTTGCTCCCGGAGCTCTGCTGTGTTCTTCCCCTTGCTTTCCAGAAACTGAAATATGGAGACACAATATGTCCTAAATCATCACATCATGTCGTTTCACGCGGGAAATTATGCAAAACCCAGCGGGCTTCATTTATAGGGAGAGAACCCGAATCCATCCATTTTCATCCGTTACCGGGTTGCGGGGGCAGCAGACGTCACCCAAATCATATTGCACCGTACCAACCCCCCCAAACCTTCCTGCGGGTGGTGAGTCCAGTGGAAGGTACCAACCGCCCTAACCGGGATTCTAACTTGCCCAGAAGGTGAACACTGGGGTTCCATACCAATGACAGAGACATTGCCTCTGGGCCAAAGCGGCACTAGAACCCGAATAATGGCAGTATATTGTCAACAGTGAACACTGAGTTAGTAAGTGTCAACCGGCAGCGGTGCCTCAATGGTGGACCTTCTCAGCCGGTGTGCTGAAGTTTTTTCCTACCTGAAGTTTTTTCCTACCCGTACTGGAAATTTATAGCCATATCTGATATTTGTGTTCAGGGTGGTAGCACATTATTATACACATCAAATCTCTATAATTACATGCTTATCACTTAGTTCAGAGTGGTAGCACATTATTTGAGGCTACACAGAAAATCTCTGTAAATATCTGTTTTCTCAGGGTTTAGGGTAGCACTTTATTTATTTTCTTTACATTTACATCTGAAAACAGAGGGAAGCTCAGAAGCTCAATCTAGGATTTTTCAGCAAACTGTTTTTTTATTATTTCTATTTTCACAAATAGTTACAGCAAGGATCATAATATGTAGTAAGGAATATTTGGGTTTATTTTCCAGTAAGATACAAGCTATGTTCATCCTTTG